TTTTTTATTATTAAAGCTTCCATTATTTTTAGTCATTTTTTTGCAGGTGGATGCAGTTAATATATTTGGTTTTCTACTAGTAAGTTTCTAATGGAGTCTGGTAATTTTGTGTGTGTTTTTAAATGGGTTCTAATGGAGTTGTGATCAGATATGTGTAACGTAAGACGTCTGGATAAGCATGTAGTTGTGTAACCGATGTAATTATTTATGAGTCCGGTTTGATCGGGAACGCAGTTCCTTAAGGGGCATTTGAACTCATAGATAATGTTCGTTCTTTGTAATTTGGACTTTGTTGATGTGTTGTTATTTTTGAGGATAAGGTTAGTGTTGAAACTTGACTAATGCATGAAATAATAATGCAACACAAAATGTACTTAGAACAAAATGTATTGAAACAAGAAAGTGTACACAATATTTACATATAGTCTTTTGTATATTCCTGGTAAGACCGTTCCTGGAGAATGTGTTGACTGAGTCGCAGTCGGGCAGAGTCTCTGGTTGAATCGCTTGATTCCTCCCCCTTTTCCCGGTACCAACCATATTTATATGGTCGGTACTCCACTACGCAAATTAGGTGGATCCTACCACAACAATATATATATATATATATATATATATATATATATATATATATATATATATATCGCCGACAGCACGAACTGAAGTTTCATGCACCATGCAATCATCAGGTATAAATGAACTGGTGCTGTTAGTTGCGTACATTATTATTATTAAATATTTAATTGTACTATAATATATATTAAAATAGATAGATAAAAACTTAGAAAATATAGATAGATAGATAGATAGATAGATAGATAGATCCTCGATGTTAACTATTACTGAGACAGCAGAAAAAATCTCATGCTCGCCATCTTGTGAATGGCACGGTACACAGCTTCTGAAACGGCTGACAGAAAATGAAAATAATCCTCATCGCTGGCGTGGTTTATTTATGGCCAGGTTCACAGTTCGTCGCACCCTGACACACGTGTTTGATCAGCGAAAATTCTTTGTGACTTCTGAAGCAGGATGTGCAAGTTCCGAAAGTAGTATTATGAGATCCACCTCCTGGCGTCATCTGTGAACCCCGCCAACTTAGCCTGATCCACATTCGACTAAAACGCCGTTCGGATCTTCTCCGATGGAGAAAGCTTTCCCATTTTTTTTATTTCTCCAGCAAGACGCGTAAAAAACGCTGGGTAACAATAAAAGTTTCGTCGGAGGGGCGAGTAAGCAACGAGTAAGTCTTATAAAAAACGGCAACAAAAAGAACACGTGTCTAGAATCAGGAAGCGACAGCAGACATTTCTTGGACACATAATGAGGAAGAGGGGCTTGGAAAACTTAACCCTCACAGGGCAAGAGGGATAAGAGAAGGCAGCTAGCCACTTACCCGAAGAGCTTGCGTGAATAGATGGTTGGTCGGAGAGTGGGGCCCTTAAAATGAAAAACTGCTAAAGGCCACAATGAATAGAAAGTTTTGAAGGTCCATAATCGTCCATGGCCGAAAGGAACATGATCCATAAAATAAGAAAAAAAAATTATTCCCGCTTCTTGCTATCTATTTCACACATCTCCCTAAATTATTCCTCCAAGAAAGTTTTAGGTTTCGTTTATTTAGCGGCATATCAATTCCTCATGGGTCATTTAATGTCGAAATTTAATTTTCTAGGGAGCATTCGTAATTTATTTTATTGCTGGCATTTTTTTTTTTTTTTTTTTTTTTTTTGCTTACAGAAATGTATTGCTGTTAATTTTTATTACTAATAAAATTTATTACTGGTAATTTTACTATAAATTTCTTTTTATATTTTCATAGTGTTTTGGTCCCTATTTGGGGTTAACTATTTGCCCATAGCTAGGACCCTAAGAGATGCTACCAACTTGGGTCAGGCTGAACCTGGGAACAACAGCAATTAAGAGATGTTTACACGCTCTTCAAAAGCTCCCGCCTTGCTGCCGGATGTACTTTATCGTCATAGCCAAGAAAGAAGAAACCGTATTTTTATCTTTGATAAAATCATTTCGCGCCTTAAATTCAGCGAATAGAAATACTTCGTACAGATATTAACAACAACGTCTTCTTCTTCTTCTTCTTCTTCTTCTTCTTCTTCTTCTTCTTCCACACCACCTCCCATTCTTCTTCTACTTCTTCTTCCACTCCTCCTCCTCCTCCTTCTCTCATTCTTCTTCTTCTTCTTCTTCTTCTTTTCCTCCTCCTCCTCCCATTCTTCTTCTTCTTCTTCTTCTTCTTCTTCTTCTTCTTCTTCTTCTTCTTCTCCCTTCTTCTTCCACTCCTCCTTCTCCTCCCATTCTTCTTCTTCTTCTTCTTCTTCTTCTTCTCTTCCTCCCCTCCCCTTCTTCTTCTTCTTCCACTCCTCCCCCTCCTCCACTCATTCTTCTTCTTCTTCCAATCCTCCTCCTCCTTCTTTCATTCTTCTTCTTCTCTTCCCCCTTCTTTTTCTTCATCTTCATCTTCCACTCCTCCTCCCATTCTTCTTCTTCTTCTTCTCTTCCTCCCCTCCCTTCTTCTTCTTCTTCTCCTTCCTCCTCCTCCTCCTCCTCCTTCTTTCATCTTCTTCTTCTTCTTCCCCTCTCCTTCATCTTCATCTTCTTCTTCCCATTCTCCTCCTGCTCCTCCTCCCTTCTTCTTCTTCTTCTTCTTCTTCTTTCTTCTTCTTCTTCTTTCTTCTTCTTCTTCTTCTCCTCCTCCTCTCCTCATTCTTCTTCTTCTTCTTCTTCTTCTTCTTCTTCTTCTTCTTCTTCTTCTTCTTCCTTCTTTCTTTCATTCTTCTTCTCTTCTTCTTCTTCTTCTTCTTCTTCTTCTTCCACTCCTCCTCCTCCTTCTTTCATTCTTCTTCTTCTTCTTCTTCTTCTTCATCTTCCACTCCTCCTCCCATTCTTCTTCTTCTTCTTCTTCTTCTTCCTTCTTCTTCTACTTCTTCTTCTTCTTCCACTCCTCCTCCTCCTCCTCCCATTCTTCTTCTTCTTCTTCTTCTAATCTCTGATCTGCCATCCATTTATACAAACTCGCTTAATAGGTTTTGCTTTATTTTCCCCCGCCCCTCTTGCCATCTGTATGTCCTGTGAGTATCAAATTTTCCAAGCCCCCTTTCCTCATTATGTGCCCCAGTAATTTCAACTCTCGCTTTCTGATGTTAATCATAAGTGTCCTTTTTGTTTCCATTTTCTCTTAGACCTCCTCGTTGATCACATGTTCCCTCCATGATATTCTCAGTATCCTCCTGTAGAACCATATTTCTATTGCTTCAAATCTATTCTTCATCTATGAAGAGATTGTCCGGTATTTAATGCCATATAGGAGGGCCGACATTACATAACAGTTCAGTAATCTTTTCTTTGATTTTAATGATATTTTTTTTCTGTTTCTTAATACTTTGCTTAACTTTTTGAAAGCATCTTTCAATAAAAATAAGCAACGAGTTTTATATTTATGGGGTGCGATGGGCAAATTGTAATTGACGCAATTAAGTCCGCTAGAAATTTGGAAACGGCATGCTATACTCCTTGGCATTCGTCCCGGAAGCTCCAATACGAACATTTCAGTGTGTTTGGGTGTCAATCTGCGGACAATACAGAGGATTCGTGAAGAGTTGGATGAGTCTAATGGTGATTACGAAGGTGTTTGGAGTGATCACTAGTGATGGCAACGTTACACCTCCATTCATCTTCTCACAAGGCCTCAGAACCAACACGGAGACCTACATCAAGTGCTTTGAGGATGTAGTGCTCGTAACAGGACTCTGCACCACGCTAAAAAAAAAACAGGAGAACCTATTCGTGGCTATCAGACAATTTCTACGACGACATCACTCCTTAAATCTAACTCGCCAGATTGAACCCCTGTCGATTATTATGTGTGGGGCGCAGTTGAGCGAAAGACCAACAAAACAACAAAAACACAAAGAAGACTTGAAGTCAAGGCTTATGACAGTATTTCAAGATATTTTTTGTGTAGTTTTGGTAAATATGTCTGTTAAAATAAGACGTCAGTGTTATTTTCAGTTTTGGTGTCATTTAGACGACACTTTATCCATCGCACCCTGTAGCTGTATCCCTTTTGGTCCCTCCATGAAGTTCCGAAGTCACGGAAAGGGAGAGATCGCGATCCGGAAAGTGAGGTCCGCCCACATCCTCCCATTACATACGCGTTGGAGAAGACGCGCGAACGCGGCACACAAGGGAGGAGCGAGCGTGCGAGCAGCGTTCGTGAAACAACTTCTCTCCATCTGATGGAGAATTAGATGTAAATTCTCTCGCCACCCCCCTTTCTTTTAAAAGGGCACGTGAAAAAAAAAAAAAACAGACTTTCAGATGAAACACCTTGAACATGAACTTGATGGAAACGTGTATGGATATCGGGAGGCAATTTTATTACGGACGGCGGAGCAGGCACGTGACCTTGGTATAGAAATGGCCTAAAGTTAAACACACACACATATATATATATATATATATATATATATATATATATATATATATATAGAGAGAGAGAGAGAGAGAGAGAGAGGAGAGAGAGAGAGACTGTAGGAAGAGAAAAACCCCATTCCATTGCAAACTGACTGTCTGGCGAAAATGTGACTGCTCTTCTCCGGTGAAATACTGAATTCATTCGCTAGCCGGCACCCTGATTGAATCAGACTAACAGAGAGGAGACGGGCGCCTCGGCGTGAGGTACGCCTTACCGACCTAGTATGGCTTACAATAACAACTGCATTTTGAGTTCGATCCTCACTGTGTGCCCAACACTTTTGACTTTGTGCCAAATAAAACTAAGCTTAGTAAACAAAGAGAATTGTGATGGGTAATGGTTAACGAGCACGTTATCTTAATTACTGAGTAGTGAGCTAGATTCTCACTTATGCCAAATTTCTCAGCTTAATAAATAATTTGTATACTTGGTAATGGTTAACAAGTAGCATGGTTTATCATGACTACCAAGTTCGATCCTCTTTGGAATAAAATTTTAAGAGTGGTTAGAAGAAGAAGAAGAAGAAGAAGAAGAAGAAGAAGAAGAAGAAGAAGAAGCATAAAGAGGAGGAGAATGAAAAGACGAAGAAAGACGAAGGGGAGGAGGAGGAGGAGAAGAAGAAGAGAAAATACAAGGATAAAAAGGTGAAGGGGAAGCAGGTGTGAAGAGGAGAAAGAAGAGGTGAAGAAAGGGGAGGATCAGTTGAAGAAAGAGTCGGGGGAGGATGTGAAGAAAGCGGAGTAGAAACCGAAGTGAAAGGAGGAGGAGAGGACGGAAAAGAAGTATTGTTATTGAGAATACGTGAATTTAAATGGTGAAGAAAAAGAAAAAAAAGAAAAAGATCTGCTGGAAATAAAAGGAAAAGAAACAAGTGTGTGGGGATGGCAAAAGGCAAAGCGTACGGAACGAAATGTAAGAAAAGATAAAACGAGAAGAGGAAGCCTAATGAAAAAAAGGACCGAAAATATAAAGAAAATAAACGAAATTGAAAAAGTAAGAATAGAAAAAGATGCAGAAAAAAAACCGAACAGGAAGAAGGGAAGAAAAAAAAAATGGAAGAAGCGAAAAGAAAAAGAAAATGACAAAACCAAAAAAGTAGAAAACCAACGAAAAAGAGACAAAAAAATAAGACAACAAGAAAAAAAAGACGACAGAAAATAAAAAGAGAATGAAAGCAAAAAAGAAAGAAAGAAAGAAACGAAAGAAAGAAACGAAAGAAAGAAACGAAAGAAAGAAAGAAACGAAAGAAAGAAAGAAACGAAAGAAGAAAGAAATGAAAGAAATGGAAAAAGAGAAAAGAAAGAAGTGAAAAGAAAATGAAGAAAGAAAGGAACCAAAAGAAAATGAAGAAAAAGAAAAAAAGAAAAGAAAGAAAGAAAAAAAGAGAAGAAACCAAAGCCAAAACGAAAAAAGAAAGAGAGAGAGAGAGAGAGAAAATAATGAATAAACCAAAAGAAAGAAAGAAAGAAAGAAAGAAAGAAAGAAAGAAAGAAAGAAAGAAACCAAAAGAAAATGTAGAAAGAAAAATAAAAAAAACAGGAAAGAAAGAATGAAAGGAAAAGAAAGAAACAAACAAAAAGAAAAGAAAGAAAATGCCAAAGCCAAAACCAAAAAAAGAAAGAGAGAAAATAAAGAATAAACCAAACGAAAGAAAGAAAGAAAGAAAGAAAGAAAGAAAGAATCGGTTGTATTTAGTTAT